AGGGACTGCTCTCCAGGGAATGAGTCGCTCTCTGGCTCCAGAAACACGTTATTTATCAAGTTTGGGTTTTTCTGTCGAGCACTCTGTGAACAAGTCGGCAAGTGAGCAATGTGGGGAGGAGAGGCTGGGCACAGCAGTGATGCGCAGAGCTCAAACATCACCTGCCTTTGCAATTACCTCCCTCAGGCAGACACTGCCACTCTGCTCTGGGAGCTGAGGCAGTCTGTGTGGAGCTCCAGGATGACTCTCATTGCTCTGCTCCACCTCCTCACCAAGCACAGCTGACCTGCTCTCACATGGTAATTTTTTCAACACAGAGAAGCCGTGGCTGCCCCTGGATCCCTGAAAGTGTCCAAGGCCAGGGCTTGGACAGGACTTGGAGCAACCTGGGGAAGGTATCCCTGCCTATGGCAGGGGTTGGGATGAGATAGTTTTTAGGGTTCCTTCCAAACCAAACTACCCTAGGATTATATGATTCTGTGACTCTATTTTTATATATGTATTTATTTTTATCACACTGAACTCCAGACACAGCCAGGAATCTTCTGTCAGCTTGCTGATCCCTTCTGAAATCAGGTATGGGAGTGCATGGTTAGCAGTGTCAGAACAGAACCCAATATAATACAGCAAGGACAGAGACACCCCCAGCACAGAGAGAGTGGGAATCCACTGGACCAGAGGGATCATGGCAGGGTGACATGACCTTGCTGTCACCGTAAGCATCACCCCAGAGATGTCTCCTGGCTGCACCCAGCAGACTTGGGGAGGTCCCTAAATGCTTAGGAATGAGACCAAACCATTGGGATAGTGCACAGATGGGTTCTACCAAGGTCCTACCTTGTCTCCAGCTCATGTGGCACCCAAAACCCAGACCAGGATAATCACACCCCATGGACTGGTGCTGTTCTGGGGTAAGGTAGTTTCTGCACTCCTCAACATCCCTGCAGTGACCAGCAGGGACAGGAGGCATTTCTGGGTTGATCATGATTCATTGGAATAGGAAAACCTGGACAGGTACCTGTCAGCTGGTGCCGGCCCAGGCGCTGTCTGTGACTCCAGCAAGCACCAGGTGTGACCAGGTCTCTGCCAGACAGTGAGTTCCTCCCCTCACTGCCTCCCTTCCCAGGCTCTGCTATCCCAATCCACCTTGTCTCTGTCATCATTGCTTTGTCAGGCAGGGATCTCCTCTGCTCAACTCATCTCTAGAACTCCCGAGACAAACAGAGTCTAAGTGTTTGCTGCAGGGCACAGACATTTCATATCAGAATCACTGCCTGGAAAAATACCATACACAAATAATAATAATTAAAAAATAAATTAGTGCATGAGAGTACAGAGTAAAATAATTAGTGCAGAGGCAGGAAAACAATACAGCCCCAAGTCACCTACTTGAAACCTGCAGGAACTACAGTGAGCAGAAGTGTCCGGGCAGCAGGGGGCAGCACCAGGGATGCCACAGCAATGCCAAGGGCTGCTCTCCTCCATCTCCCCTGCACAAACTGGGTGACTCCTCTGCAGTGCTCAGAGAGCAGCACATCATTTCAGATCAGCAGAGGGGTCAGGGTAGAGACCTCAAACCAAGCTGGGTCAGCATGTGGGACCCTGGGCACTGCTGGCTCCTTCTCCTCAGAGGCAGAAGGGTCTGTGCCGTAACACCACAAAATGAGTGGGCAATGCCAGAACGACTGGCCTAGATACAGAGAACTTGAAATTCCCATGGGGGAAAGGGAAGAGCACAACTCACTCAGAGCCCTGCTGCAATCTGCACTGACTGTCCCAGCAACCACCACAGAGAGTGACTCAGCCCTGGTGACCTCTTTTAATGCTCCATAAGGTTAATGCTGAGTTTAACAGGGTTAATTCTGCCTTTAATGACCAGTTTTCCAGTGAAGGCAAAGAGATCAGCACAGTCTGTAACTCAGCCATGTCTCACTTCTCCTCCCCCGGCAAGAGACACTGCAGAAGGTCCCATCCCTGCTCCTGCTGCCCATCTCAGGAGCCAGCTGGTCACAAAACCAAAACAATCCCTTGGCCATCACCGAGTGACCCCAAACAACATGCCCAAGGTCTCAGAGTACAGTCCCAGCCTGGCCATGGTCGCTGTTTCTGCCACAGCTGAAGTGACTGGGACAAGGCAGGGATCCGAGTGAGAGACAGATGTCAAAAGCAATCAGCCGCTCCCCTGTCTCCAAGGCAGGAATGCTGACAGCACTACAGGCCTTGGAGGAGTTAAAAGGAAAGGCTTATTAGAAAGAAAACTCGTTCTGACAATCGCAAAAATTGGAATTCATTTAAAATTCAAATTATGCAAATTCCAGTAATCTGTACGTGCAGATCCATCACACAGCAGAGTGGGACTGCAGACAAATGCCACTAGTGACATGGCTGGAGAAATCCCACCCTCCCCAGTGCTCTGGGAGGAAGGCAGGTGTGCTGGCCTCAGGCAGGCATGGGAGGAGCAGCTGCTCTGGGACTGTGGGGCCAGGCTGGATTTGCAGGTGCTCCCTCTGCACTGGAAGATGCTTCAGCAGCCCTGGAAGCATCTAGCATGTCAAAGCCAGGGGAGCAGGGAAGCCAGATTCCAGTATTTTCACATAAATTATAGCAAATTCTCCCTTGGACAAGCTCAGGTGCCCATGACCAGCACAAAGCCTTCGTTAGGCAGCACCTAATCACAGGGATGTGAGGTGGCCACACAGCACTGGGTGCAGCAGGTCTGCCCTGTCACCATCCATCCTGCCCTGTCCCACCCAAAGCCTCAAGAACCTCCCCTCTCTCAGCAATTCCCAAAATTCTATTTTTGGGGAAATTTAAAACCAAGCCAAGCAGCGGCAAAGGTGGCTCAGATTGTCAGCACAGAAAGAGCAAAGCCAGAAATCGTCATTACAGGCTGGGGAAGTGCAACAGCCCAGAAAAATGAATCCAGTTTCTTCCTAAAAAATGAGCCACTGTGATATGGTAAATCATGCTCCCTCCTGTGGGTGCTGTGCCATGCCTGAGGAGAGCAGATCCCACCTGGCAGCGATTCCTTCCCAGCCAGGGCTGGGCAGAGCTGGTGTCACGCAGGGCCAGGGCACAACACGAGCCCAGGGGAAGCTACAACACCTCCAGTACAGAGATGAAAACTAACTAACCCAGCCATGGGAGCACACAGAGCCCAGAAATGTCCTTGGAAATAATTTCCCCAGCTTGGCAAGATCTCTGCTTTGAACTTACAAACCTGGCTCTGGGGCTGTGTTGGGAATGCTGGTCCTGTCCTGGCCCAAGCCTCAACCAAGCGCTGCCAGTTCACCTTCCTCCACACTTTCTGCCACTGCTGAAGGGCCCTCTGGAAGCCCCTTCCAAGTAGGATGAGTCTGCTTTTTTCAGCAGGTCTCACAAGGTCAGAGCCCGTGTCTGAGTCTACAGCAACAACTTTTATGTTGGAACGAGCCAGAAATTATTTAGCAAGGAAAAAAACCCCACATCCCACAGAAAACCTGCTCTCTTCCTTGACAGACAGCCAGCTCTGTGGGTACACGAAGGAAAGCTAAAGGTCTCCAAAACCTGAGTAAGTCAAAGGCCAAATCAAACTGGCCACAGACAGCACAGAAAGGTGCTGGCATGGCACCGAGCAAGGAGGGACAGGGACTGCCCCACAGGAAGGGCAGAACCCAGCTCTCTGCAGGTACCAGGATACTGTGCTTAAAACCCAAGTGCTTCCACACCTTTTGTGACCATCTCCACTGCAGCACAGAGGCTATGGGGAACAGGTCCCACAGAGACACTGGAAAAACATCCCTGAAAGACAATGGTCCCCAACATCTCAGTGCCCTCCTGTCCCTCCTGGGTACAGCTTGGAGCCACAGATCCAGGCAGACAGCAGACAATTCCTTACCCCACAGCAGGGTCGCCGCATCTTAAACATCTCCAACATCTTTCAGCAGTTCATCAGGTGCCCCATCCTGCTTGTGCTCATCGCCATCCCTGAGGTTTCAAGTGCTTCCTGAGCCTGAGGCAGCAGTTTGCACAGCGAAGGTTCACTGACAGTGCTGGGACTGTGACAGCTCCCACAGACTCACCCACAGCCCTCGCTGCTGTCCCCAGCACGCTCTGAGACCAGAGTTGCCCTCCCAGGGGCAGAAGCGGTGGCTACATCCAACAATGCAGGCACAAGCAGGAAGGGTGAGCTCTCAGACCCACAGTGCCCAGCTGCACCAGGAGAAACCTCCAGTGTGACCCCAGAGGGACCAGCCCTTCTTCTGGGGCAGAGGAAACCTGTGCACAGCTTGGGGCAGGTGAGCTGTGCAGCTTCAGCCCATTCCCTGCTCCATTCCCATTGTACTGGCTCTCTCAGCCATTGCAAATCAACACCGAGTGCTTCTCATCCCCGCGGCACCTGAGCCCTCATTACAACCCCGAGCCGCTAACGAGGCGGGGGAAGGACATCCGAGCCGCGGGGTTTGGTGTCTCTGTGAAAGAGAGGAGGCAGAGCCCATTAAACATTGATCAGAGGCTGCCGCAGCTGCGGTGCAGCCCTGACGCATCCCTGCTGTCCTGCCACCAGGAGCTCGCAAGGGCCAGGAAGCTCTGAGCTGCCCCAAGGACTCGGTGCTGGCTCCTTGTTGCCCCAGCCCCTCACCACTGGCCCCTGATAAACCTTTGGAAAGGTGCAGTTCCTCACAGACACGAAGCCGAGGACAGGAAAACTCATTTCCTCCTTTCAGCCTTGTTCCATGCTTTGCACAGCAGTGCCCAGAGTCCAAGCCCTCGTCCCCCTTCACCCAGCTGAGCCGCAGCCACCCTGAAGACCTCGGAGCCAGGGGGACAGGACCCCCGGAGAGGAGCTCTGTCACGGGCTGGGCAAAGCCGAGCTGCCACCACCATCTGCTCCATCACTCTGGAGCAGCCTCTCTTTCTGTTGTTTTACTAATGTTGGGCACAAAAATAGCTCTCCAAGATGTCAGTGCTTTTGGGAAGCCGCGCGCGTGCGAGCGTGGGCGGCCGGGGCCGATACTCACGAACTGCCGCCGCAGCTTGGTCCTGACGCGCTCGGCCTTGCTCTCGGCCGGGTGCACGGCGTAGCTCAGGGAGCCCAGGTGGTTGTCCACAGACAGGCTCTTCCTCATGTAGAAGGAGCGCGTGCGGAAGTAGCTGAACGGGGCGTCCTCCACGGCCGTGCCCAGCTGGGGGGCCCTGGGGGGCTCCGAGCAGTCATCCTCCAGCCGCCAGGCCTCCCCTGCCAAGGAGAAGGAGATGTGTCCCCATCAGAGCGTGACCCAGACCTGTCCTACCTCTTGAGCCAGCTCTGGGGATGCCCAGTGGGTATCCCTAGACCCCCTCTGGCCGTCCCACATCCATCCCACCCCATCCCATGGGGTAGAGACACTGGGAACTTACTCCAATGGCAAGTCCCTCCCACAAATCCCCACGTACCCCCTGCCCCAGGCAACAGCCCCTGCACTCAACCTGTCCACCCAGGTATGCACAGACCCCGCCATCTCCTGGCAGGAATCAGCCAAATACAGTTAGAATCATGGAATGCTTTTTGCTGGAAGGAAGCTTAAAGCTCATCTCGTTCCAACCCCCTGCCATGGGCAGGGACACTTTCCACTTCATCAGGTTGCTCCAACTCCAGTCCAACCTGGCCTTAAAATCTTGCTTTGTGAATGAGAAAAATGAGGCATCAAAAAGTGTTAAAAATTACAAAAGAATTCACTGCCATCTTCTCCTACAGAAAAAAACCCCAAAGCACTTTATGGCACAGCCAGCAGCAAATCAACAGCCCCAAGAAGGAGAGAAGCCAGACCTCCTTTCTCCACCTGCCTGTCGCCAGCAGCAACAGGATGCAGCAGTGCAGGGCTGAGAGCCCCAGGGACAAACCTCACTAACACTGCCACAGTGGTGACAGTCGCAGAGCACAGTTGGCACCACGCAGGGCTGGTGAACCCACGGCAGGACTGGCCACATTTAATTGCAACAAAAGGGAAAAAACGACAAAACAACAGGAGACGTTTCCAGAATATCACTGCTGCGCTTTTTTCCCTTCGGCTCAGATTGTCACCTGCTTTTTGTTGCCAATCTCCTCTTTACATCTGGAGCTTGCCCTCCCTCTTCCCCTCAGCCAAAATCACTGCTCAAGCCATGACAAACAATCAATAAAAGCCTCAATCTTGAAGCCTTCTCAATTATTAGCCCAAAAGGGGCATCTCACAGGACTGCCTCCAGGGGCTCTCCTCCTGCTGCAGCCTCTTACCAAGGCAACATCCTTCGCCTCTCATTTCTGAAAAACCCAGCACCTTTGAGCATGAACAACCATGATCCTGCTACACCAGGGCTGAGGAGCAAAACACTTCTGGGGTTTAAAGCAGATAACGGCCCTAAGCCCCAGTTCAGCAGTGCAGTCCAGTTTACCCAGCAAGGCTGTGGGGTTTACATGGAATATGGTGAGACACAGGCTGGACTACCAGCCACCAGAAGAGGAACCACCTACACACACTGCCAGAGGGCAGGATTAGATTGGACATTGGGAAGGAATTGTTCCCTGTGAGGGTGGGCAGGCCCTGGCATAGGGTGCCCAGAGAAGCTGTGGCTGTCCCTGGATCCCTGGAAGTGTCCAAAGCCAGGCTGGACGGGGCTTGGAGCAGCCTGGGACAGTGGGAGGTGACTCTGCTCAGGACAGGGCGTGGAACAAGATGATCTTGAAAGTCCCTTCCAACTCAAACCCAAACCATTCCATGAAAGAGGCAACCCAGAGCACAGCACTCCGAGCATCGTGTAGATTTTTTTCTCCCCTAGTTTCAATTTAATAAGCTGCTGCTGCTCCTCTCCAAATGTCACCTCACACAACACAGGAACTGCTGTTTGAAAGCTGTGATTATTCCATGCACAAACACGTCAATCGGAGGCAGATCCAGACTGCCATCGTGAGACAGCATCACTCTGGGAGCGCAGCAGGAACACTGACACAGGAGAGGCAGGGGACACGCAGGGAAATCGCACATGAAAGGAGAACCCGCCCCCATGCTCACCTGAGATGGCCCAGCCACTGCCTGTGCCATCCTGTGTCCTCAAGACTGTCCCCTCACAGCCCCAGAGCTCACCCAGACACAGCCTCCACCACTCTGCTGCCCTGAGCAAGGGAGGGCCAAGGCCATGTGCAGAATGAGGGAAAGGATTCACCTGCTGTACCCACACCTCTGTGCAGGGCACCTCACCCAAGGACAAGGAGTTGGGTTTCAAATCCTACAGATCAGCCGTGCCACATCTGCTCTCACTGATCCCAGCTCCCCAAGGATTTTGCAGCTTTTGGTCTTGTCTCTCATCTACAGGAGCTGCGTTCTCCAGCAGGAGCTGGACCAGAGGCAGCTGCTCCCTGGCCTGCCCAAGGGGTTATCCTCACCAAACTGCGTCCTTCCTCCCTGCACAGAGGGAGCCACCACAGAACTTTGTCTACCCCAAAATGCTTTTCTACCTGCTAAAGGAGCTAGTCCTGATTGCTACCAAACAAGTAAATCAATGATCGAGCCCAGAATGGCCAGAAGGGGAAGATCAAGAAGTAGAGAATCAAAGACTGGTTTGTGCTGGAAGGGAAATAAAAGCTCATCTCGTTCTAACCTCTGCCACAGGCAGGGATGTTACTCACTAGATCAGGTGGCTCAGGATCCCATCCATCCTGGAAAGAAAATGCCAGGAACAAAAGCAAGCCCACAGACTGGAGGCCAACAATCCTCATGCTCTTGTGTCTTGGAGCTGCTCACCCCTCTGCCACTCAGAGCTGTGCCCTCAACATCAGCACCTCTGGAAGATCTCCTGACCATCTCCTGCAATAACAATTTCTGCAAACCCTTTTTTCTTTCTGAATTTGAGGTGCTGGGGAGGACACACATCAAAGGATGGAGGGAACAGCAAGGACAGAGACCCAGTGCCTCTCCAGTACATCCTCTACAAGTAGAAGAAAAATTAATTCCAGGGTCCTGGTCTAAGCTCAAATCCAGCTGCTTCCTTGTGGCTTCTTTATTTTCCTCCCATGGGCACAATTCCCAATAAACTCACGCCAACCATACTATGAGTTAACTTCTCCCCAGATCCACAGCAGGGCATGGAGCCAGCTCCTGAAGAGCTCTGCATGTTGCCTGACAGACAAGGGAGAGTGGAGGCAGGGAAGTGCTCCAGAGTGCTCTGCTCCTTCCAGGTGCAAGAGGAGGGAACTGCAAGGGACCAGGCATGTAAACTATGCAGGGAGTTTCTGTGCAGGCTGCAGCTGAGGGCTGCTGCAGTGGTCAAAGGCTGAGAAGAAGCCCCTGCCTGATGTAGAAGGAAGAGGTGAGAGAGCAAAAGGAGGGCTTTTCCTCAGTCCCACTCCTAAATCTCCACACTGGAACAAGGGATAAGAAGCAACAGGCAGCTCATTGCTCTGTGCCACCAGCACATATGAGACCTCCTGGCAGACTGCAGTGTGACACCCAAGGGATAATGGCTTGGACAAGGCAGGCACTGTCCCCCGTCCAGTCAAGCCCCATTTGTGCTTGTCTTCTCCTCTCCAGGGCCTGGAGCTATAAGGATATGGGGTTAATCCTGGAGCTGCTCCAGGCAAGGAGTTGAAGGACATAGGATGGAGAGGAAGAGCTCATAGCCTGTCCCAGCTGACCACAGTACTGTTATGGGTGTCCTGCAGGGGAAAAACAAAACCAGACCAGCAGGAAACCCAGACCTGCTGACCAGCCCAGCCAGCTGCCAAACTCATGGAATGAGATGGAAGGTTGTTTTGAAGGGAAAGAAGGGCTCTGGGAGGCTCAGCAGCCACAGGCTCAGCTCTTCTGCCCATCTTCAGGGTCCCAGCTCCCCACCAGGCACCTTGGTGTCCTCACAAGGACCTGCAGAGGAGCTGTGGTGCCATAGCAAGACATCCTCCTGTGACCTCCCATCAAGTGCCAGGGCACATCCCTCCTCCAGGAAAACCCCCAGCTGACACATTGGAAAAGGCTGAGGAACACGTCCCAGTGGATGAGGATGTCACATCTCATCCATGCCAGACATAATCATGTCTTCCATCTTGCTTGGTGATTCCTCTGCTCATGGCCCCCAGAACAGCAGCAAGCAGTGCAGTTTCTCTCCAGAACCATGAACTCTCCCTGAAGATGAGCTCATCACCTCTCCTAAGGACAGCCCTGCTCCTGCCATGTCCCTGTGCATGAGCCTCTTCCTGAGCTGGTTTTGGTCCTGCATCCCCCCACCTTGAATGGGGAGTGGTAGTACCTGCTCACAGCAAATTCACCACTTCTTTAGGGAAAAGACCTTATCCAAGAATGATGAAACGGTTTGGGTTGGAAGGGACCTTACAGCCCATCTCATTCCAGCCCGTGCAATGGGCAGGGACACCTTCCACTATCCCAGGGTGCTCCAAGCCCTGTCCAACCTGGCCTTGGACACTTCCAGGGATCCATGGGCAGCCACAGCTTCTCTGGGCAGCCTGTTCCAGCTTCTCTCCATCCTGATACCCAGCAGCCCAGCTCTTGCTCATAAATCCTTACAGGAATCCTGCATTCCTGGTCAGCATCCCAGGGCTCGTTAACCTTCAGCACCACATGCTGCTCCATTCCCTTTGTGTTGTCCAAATGTCCTACCCTGCCAGCAGTGGCATGTCTTCTTTTTCTCCTCCAGGACATCATCCTGACAGCCTTCATAAGTAAATAATTAGCAGGTCCTAATTGAGCCAGGAAAACAAAGTGGGAGAATCTGGACTGAAAACAACACACTCATTCATCTACTGCTCTGGCTGTGGAGGGAGCCCTCCAGTCTCCAAAGGTTTTCCTACTCCTGCTCCTCTTGGCAGCCCTGGCCCCTTCCAGCCATGAGCAAAGGAAGATCTCAGACACTTCTTAGGTGCACTCAGAGTTTCCACGACTCCTGCTGTGCAGGGAAGGTGTGCAGGGGGTTTGCTCCAGGACAGTTGTTCCATGGAGCACGAGCCTGTCTGCACCCCCAGGACAGCAGGATTCTGCAGCAGAAGGTGAGGTGTTTGCAGTGGGGCTGACCCACAGAGCAACAACACCCCACAGTCTTACCCCAGCCTCCCACTCCCATCCTT